ACTTGGGTTGAGCATTCCTTCATTGTTCCTTGTCTCCCACCCATGCGCAGCCGGTTGCTGTGTTTAAAAACGGGGAGTGGGTCTCGTTTCACTTTAGCGGGTCTCGCCTCTGCATTGATCTCCACTTTGTACATCAGTGCGAAAACAATGCGGAGGACAAAAACCTCCAGTGCTTTTGGAATTCACTCACCACCTACAAGTGACATCTGAAGTTAATTGTGTGCGGAGGAGTGGAGGGTGGGGTGTTTTCCAGAAATGGGAATGGTGCGGAGGTTGCAGTCGATATTGCGTGAGCAATCTCTCAGAAGGAAAACAATCTTTTACAGTCAGAGGAGAATGAATTACTTTGGCTTTGATTGGAAAAATAATGGAAAACCGAGGAGCTCATAGTTTGTGATGATAAAAACAGAGCCCTTTGAATGGTATCTGAATGATTTCCTGGAATGAATGTCATTATGTGGGAATGGATGGGAGCCAAAAAGAACCCAGACAGAAAAGAAGAAGGTGCCGGAAAGTTGTTAAAGGGCAATGCTCTTCGCATTACGCAGCTATGTGTTGGAAGTATGGCTATGCACCCCCAAAACATGAAATAATAAACTCACAGTGATGGAACCCCATTCTGAAAGCTTCTTTGGGCACTGTGAGGCCAGTACAGTACTGTTTTTTATTTAATGACCTTAAAAGCATGAATCTCCAAAGAACACCTCCTTTCAGAGAGGAGCGTGAATACGAATTAAGCTTGTGGTTGGGAATATGCACGCCGACACAAGTGCATATTTCCTGTCCAGCCAAGCGAGCCAAGCCTGGAGATGACATGTGGGCTGATAACTCCGAGAGCTGCTGCCTGTAGATTAGGCTCTTATAGGGAAGGGACAAGAAATCTGGCTCGTGAGGATGAGGGAGGGAATGTGGGATGTTGAGTGATCACCCTCCGCAACCCCGGCTCCCCCTTTCCCGGCGCATTGTTTACCCCCTCCGCACATATGCATGAGAAGGGCCTTATCTACAGTAGACCGTCCTTTAATGGGCCACCTGACATTCTGCATGGACGGGACGAACGTTTAAAGATTACCTCCACGGCATGAAGGGAATTGAAAGGACAGGCGCACGGGACATTCATATTACATAAGAGAGCAGTGGACACATACACCGGCCAGCCACAACGTTCTATAACATTACGATAAGCAAGCAACAGCTCAATCAAATATTCTGCCTTTGCAGGGCTAATGTTGACTTTTGATTGGTCAGAAGTAGTCATTTCAGAAAATGGTTATTATTGTGGATGGATAATAAATAAAAAGGATGTGTGAACATACTAACAGCTCTTACAGTATTATGCAATACTGCGGTTAGACTTCATATACCCCGAAAGAATTTCCATTCAGAATCAAACAATGCCGTGTGGAAAATCTCATGGTGGGACGTCAAGTTTGACATCTCCACAATGTCGGTCTGATCAAACTTTCAATAGCATGCAATTTCAACCAGGACACATCAAAATGCAACAGTGTTTGTGGAAGACCTGGGTCCGCGAAGTCTGGGTCCACAATGGCGTCTGCCAAAGGAAGCAAGTGGAAGGACTTCTTACCACGTTGCTGGGACAATTAGTGGAACTACAAGAGGAAATGCTTTGGAGATTATTTCTCTGCGGCTTGGTGGAGTCAGACGAGGTAAAGGGAAAGAGTGGTCTGGAGTGGGGAGTGGGGGTGATCAAATGTCGTGATAAAATAAGTTATGAAACTGCCGGTTGATAAGGTCTCCACATCAAACACACACAAAACAAAACAATGTGTTCTCCCTTAATGCAACGAACACTAACAAACTGCTATAAACAGTTGATGGTCTGTCGCAAATGTATGCAGGGGTCTCTTGCTTGTTTTTGTTTTGTTTTTTTTCAATTATTAACCTCTCTTTTGCACTCCAGCTCTCTTTTCTCAAATCCTGTTTTTAAATACCCAAACCACCTTTTTCTTTGGGGTTTTGAAAGAGCCCTAGAAGGCCAAAAATAAAAATAAAAACACAGAAAGACACGAACATTGCTTCTTGGATCCTGTGTGCCATGTAAAAAAAAAAAAAAGATTCCTAATGGTCTGGCTAGATCGTGCTCCATCATCGCCACATAAATCCTTGAATTTTCATTAAAAGCAAGATCACAAAAAAGTCTTTAATTTAGCCCGTGGCACAATTTTAGTGAGTGGTCAGTTTAGGTTTAGCACCGCAATTATGCAATTGCTGTGGAACCTTAAACGTCTTACAAAATCAGTACCACAGGACCGCCCAAACTCCTATTTGGGTAAATTTAGAAAAATGTTAAGGAGGAACTGTTTCTGATTCAGTTTTTCCCCTCTCGAATGAACCCCGCATCACCCAGCAGTGCCATTTCATCAAATACTCCCGAGGTGTTGATTCTCCACATGCAATGCTTCACTAACCGCAGCATTTCATAATTGCTCTGCTGCTCTACCAGCGCTAGGCCCATCAGTCAGAAAGTCACTCATCGAAATAAACAAACTCTGCAAACATCAAAGAATATTCTGAGAGGAGAGATGACGGAGACAGATAGCGAGGCAGACATACTTGAATTAAAAAAAAACAACAAAAAAAACGAGGTACTGGGACAGAGAGACGAGTTCAAAGCTCGGGGGGTGGCACGAATGGGCTCCGTCTACCCGAGGGACATTGTCTGCCATCTGTGCTGTGGCCCTGTGGTGCTGTATGGCAAAGGCTGTGCGGGTGGTATAGGAGGTTGTTAAAAGTCGATCCCATCGCCCTGTGACCTTGCACAGCAATGAGTGGAAAAACAGCTGTTGGCTGCATGCACAACGCTGTGCCATGGGCCTCAAACATTCACGGGACGCATCCCCGCACTCTTCGGGCCTTTTCCCTTTCCACTCATATTTCAAGGTTATGCAACCCAAAGAATGGATATTCAAATCCACTGTGGAATGTCTTTATTTTTTTGACTATCAAATATTGGAGTGTCACATTTCAAGCATTTTTTTATTTAATTGATGTATTGCAAAAAAATTAAAAATAAGATACCTCCCCTGACATCTTTTGACCCCCTTCCCACTCGGGGCAGACATAATAGTTTATCCATTCTCGCGACATCACCAGATCACTGACTGATGCAACCAAAAGAATATGAACATTTGCGAGCATCATTATGTCACTGCATTAGGTCATTTGCTCTTACATAATTCAACTCAAATATAACATTTTCAGCAACTGCAGTCATGTGTTTTTCTTATTATGGTGCTTGTTTAAAGGGAGCCCAAGGCCCAAACAGGGTCAAATTGTATCTCTGCTAATAATGAAGGATAGAATAAAATTTGATTCCGGAAAATCTGTTAACAACGTGCACTATATCAAGTATTACATTTTTTTCCACAGACCTGAGTGCAAAAAAATGTGTACTTTAGTCCTTTAATTAACTGCAGAGCATCATCAGCAATAGAATTACCGGAAGCAAAAGGAGATGATCTAATGGCTGTGAATCAAACCCAGGTCAACTGTTTGGAAGGCAGCTAAACGTGGCAAATGTACCCCTCCTTGTGCATATGCACAGGTTCCTCCAGTTTTCTGAACAAATGTTATACTCCAGTTGAGCTTTGTTGCTGTACGTTCGACTTAAAACAAAAGCTTTCAGTTTCATATGGTAACATGGCATCTACGTCATAGTTACAGTATTTACATTTGTACCCCGCAAACATTTATGATGTTTAAACCATTTGCAATGCGATCCTCCAACGAAGCTGTCAATCAAATTTTGAAATGCATACATAGTAGAAATTTGTATTAGTTTGAACAGCATTGTATAGTAACCTATGTTCTTGAATAAAGGTCACAGTGCTTCACGGTTGCCTTGCTCACGGTTGCAGACGTGTCGCTACACTTTCAAGTCTCAGTAGCACCCTCCAGTGCTCTTGTGAAGAATTACATCCACATCAAGGTGTCTTTTAGTTTATTGTGGCATAATGGTGTCCTTGAGTCAGACTAATTAAGATAACATGAAGTTCTTTTCCTGGGATGTCAAGAGTCTTTAGCTCTTTGGCTGATTTTTATTTTTCAGGGATTCTAGCAAGCCCTTGATCCGCTCGCTAGCAGGCTCTCTTTTCCTCTTCTTTCGACTTTTGACCCCCGCAACCTGCAAAGGCAAAAGGAGGGTCGCGAGTCCCCAGGGTGTGGGCGTGCGGCCCCCTTTGGGTACGGTGTTGTCGCTCTGCTGGAGGAGCCAGGCGCTCTCCTGACACAAAGCCACAAATCGTTCCAGTTGTGTGCCGTTTACGTTCTTGCTGACATTCAGGGCCGTTTCAAACGGGTTCTGGATGTGCAGCGGGGCCACCTCGGGCTTGTTCTGCTCTTTGCCCTGGAGAGAGGGAAAGAGGAAAGGCTGGCGGGTTCAAATATGCCGGTGATCAGTGCTGCATGTACTGTATGCAACGGTCCGCCTATCCTGTTGGTCATGCTTTTTGCCTCCTTGCACCAGTATCCGGGGCACGTAGGGGCCAAATGGACCAAGTCTCCCCAGGATAGCAAAAGGGAGAAATTAATATGGATGAGGCCTCGGAGGACACTCGGACATCCAGAAGGAAATAGAAAATTCTCACATCATGTGGTAGAAAACCGATTCAAGCACGGGCTGAGGCTCTCGTCTATAGGTCCTGCCCATCAAACAAATCATCCATATGAGGTTAGGGGGAAGTCAGACAGGCAAAGCCATTTGTCAAAGCACTGGAGTCAACCAGAAAATTGTGGCACGGTAAAGCTGATTTACAGCTGTTCTTCCAGCAGCGAAAGCCTACGGGCTCGGGTCATGGCCACCTTTTACCTGCTAAATTTCCTCTGTTGTGTCAAAACACTCATATAATGCACCACGGGGTCTATCTTTCTCGACATGATCAATTCATGAAAACACCAAGTACAAGTGTGTCTTGGCCAGCGTGTGTGGGAGGGCACCTAACGGGTAAACGGATAACAAATGAATGACCCAGGACAGGAATACAGGAACAAGTCAACGGTGATCATTTTTCATGTCATGTCAATTGGAAACAGATTCCCAAAGCTTTTGGATTTCATTACAAAACGCACCATCATTAGTCAAAAAAGATTTCACACAGATATGACCTGTACAGCAGGATATTCAGGAGACCACAAAGTGTTTTATGGAATGGCGCAAGGTTCAGTGACAGTTTTCAACCCATTTTCCACTGCATGGAACCCATTCGGCCTTTTCCACTGCTAAAAAAATGCGCACGGCTGTTTCTAGCAGGCTGACCATGCACAGTAAGTGACATAAACCCTCACCAAGTACGTTTTTAAAAGAGAAACATTTGAGGTAATTTGGAGCGTTTTTTAGTTGTTGTTGGTTTTGAATTAGCATCGATGACAGCACTGGCTTGTTTACTACTTGCGATTTACGATGCTTCAAAAAGGCAGGGGTTGTCGTAGTGTGACCCCGTTGACAGACAAGGCGATACATCAATGCCAGTAAAAAAAAAAAAACCACACCCTCCTTGGTCGAGGTAAATAATGCTTTGCAGCCTGATGGAGTTCCTAAATTTGATCTCGGCTCAAGGGCATCGGATCTGACTGGGCCAGCATCAATCAGGCAAGACAAGGGCAACTGTCATCTGCGTGGGCTGACAGCCTCCATGCAAGCGGGCTGCCTTCACTATCATCCCATCTCCTGATAGAACTGAGCACAGAGGATGTAATGAAGGGATCCCGAGGGAAGATTTCTGAGGTTGCGGTGGATGCTCACCTCGAGGCAAAAATCAGATCATTCCATCCTACGCTTGGTGAAGTTATCATATGTTGTTAGTGATTGAATTTAAAAATGTGGTGACAGATCTTTTTCCATCTTGTTTTTTTTTCCACAACAGATAATTAGAAGATAGGAACAACTATTTCCATATTAAGTGGCCTGGTTGTTGATTTCCTCAGCAGAGAGCACAAAGCATCTACTCAGGGGAAAGGAACTTATTATATATATTTTTTTTTACACAAACATGATGACGCAGGCAGCACCGTGGTGTAATGGTTACAATATCTGCCGGCTCACCTCGAGGCAAAAATCAGACCATTCCATCCTACGCTTGGTGAACTTATCATATGTTGTTATTTATTGAATTTAAAAATGTGGTGGGAGATCTTTTTCCATCTTGTTTTTTTTTTTTCCACAACAGATAATTAGAAGATAGGAACAACTATTTCCATATTAAGTGGCCTGGTTGTTGATTTCCTCAGCAGAGAGCACAAAGCATCTACTCAGGGGAAAGGAACTTATTATATATATTTTTTTTTACACAAACATGATGACGCAGGCAGCACCGTGGTGTAATGGTTACAATATCTGCCGCACAGTCAAGCGGTACTGGATTTGAATCTGGGCCCTTGATAGTCTCCAGTTAGATAGTCTCCTGCTTCTTCGAATATTCCACAATCACGCGCGTGACTTTAATTGAGGACTAACTTGTCCATATGTAAAAATGTGAGTGAACTAATGACACTCAAATCACATCTACTCAGGGGAAAGGAACTTATTATATATTTTTTTTACACATACATAATGATTAAGGCAGCACCGTGGTGTAATGGTTACAATATCTGCCGCACAGTCAAGCGGTACTGGATTTGAATCTGGGCCCTTGATAGTCTCCAGTTAGATAGTCTCCTGCTTCTTCGAATATTCCACAATCACGCGCGTGACTTTAATTGAGGACTAACTTGTCCATATGTAAAAATGTGAGTGAACTAATGACACTCAAATCAATGTAACAAAGGAAGTGAAGTCAACCCTTGCATATTTACGTTCCTGCATTTGCAGGTTTAGAGCGGTACTAATTTGGAGCCGTCTGGTGGCATCCTGGGGCACAGTCAAGCGGTACTGGATTTGAATTTGGGCTCTTGATAGTCTCCAGGTACTCCTGCTTCTTCGAATATTTCACAATCACGCGTGTGACTTGAGAACTAACTTGTCCATATGTAAAAATGTGAGTGAACTAATGATGCTCAATCGACGTAACAAAGGAAGTGAAGTCAACCCTGGCATATTTACGTTCCTGCATTTGCAGGTTTAGAGCAGTACTAATTTGGAGCCGTCTGGTGGCATCCTGGGGCCAAAGAGTGGCTGAAGTGATTTGATGGACCTTCGTTTACTCCTTCACACTTACATAATGAAGAGTCTTTTGTCAAGATTTGGTGACAGCCCAGCAGTCATACATACCTTTCGGATATTTATGGACTTCTTACTGAATGCAAATGTGGCGTAGAACTCAAAGAATTCACAAAGCAGTTTCTCTGTGACAATAAAGACAATAAAAAGTAACGTCACGTTAGCATCAGGGCGGATTAGGGAAAACAACGAGATTCAACTGTATCCACGCAACCCGGCCTTTGAGCTCACGCTCTCACCGAGTGTTTCTGTGTTGTTCTGGAGCTGGATTCTGTCAAAGTCGCAGACAAATGTGCAGTCGTTCCCCTCGATCACGCTCTTGTCCGCGGGACCTTGTGGGATGAAAGCGGGGAGGCAAGGTAAATGGCGGTCTTTAAACATCTATGATGGTTATAAATAAGGGACTGACGGATGGTGTTTGCGAGGAAAAGAAGTGACAGGAAGGAAAAGTGGTGGGAAAAAAAAAACAGAAGAGAGCATGGATCAGGTCCTTTCTGGACAGCCCGGTGATGCCCTTGTTAGCAGTCACCTTCATGAAGCCGATGCTGCGTCTGTGCCGTGTTCATGCAAGTGTATCCTAAGGAGGCTGGGTCATCGACCTTAACCAGAGTGATGGGCCGTTTATTGTCCTGTAAGCACTCTGTGTGATACAGACTCTGCTAAACGGAGTAAAGGCAGTGAAGCAGGTGGTGCCGGCAAATGTGGGGGGAGTGGGAGAGGGATTGGGGGGGGGGGGTTGATCTGATTGCTTTTGGAGGGCAATTAATGAGCAGCCAAGGTGAAAGCAAGGGAGAAATATGAAGAAGGTTCAGTTCACTCTGCTATGGTGGCGCTTGGCTATGTTAGCAAAAGATAACTCTGGATGCGGACAACAATGAAATTTTAGCGCTATGGGAATGTAGATCAAGGAAATGAATGCTTCCACACAATAAATGCTGTTTTATACTCTTTTACGGTCACATTTTTTAAGACTAAAGACCACGGTACTCAGTACTATATAAGTTTTGTTTGCATTGTGTGTCAAATGGACAAAAAAACCCAAAACAAAACATGTAAGATGGTTTATATTTATACTCTTTTAGGGTCACATTTTTTAAGACTAAAGACCACGGTACTTAATACTATATAATTTTTGTTTGCATTGTGTGTCAAATGGACAAAAAAAACCCAAAACAAAACATGTAAGAATTGATTTTCATTTTTAGCTGTTGCTGTTTGGTACCTGCAAGGTCTCGTAGGTGGTCCAGAGTGGGGATGATAGAGGGCCGTCTCCCCTGCAGGAAGAACAGCACCATGACGGTGAAGTGAAGCTGGAGTTCTTTGACAGCCGTTGCTGTTTGGTACCTGCGAGGTCTCGTAGGTGGTCCAGAGTGGGAATGATAGAGGGCTGTCTCCCCTGCAGGAAGAACAGCACCATGACGGTGAGAGAGAAGTTGGTGATCCAGGCCCCGGGGATGCTGCTGGTCACTCCGTGTGCTCGGGCCCAACATCGCACGGTGAACACCAGGTGCCGCACCCTTGGATCCAGTTGGCCATAAAGGTAAAGAAGCTCTGAGCTCTTCATCGCCACCCTGTGGACAACAGGCTGGATGACTACTGTTGTCTGATGATTTGATGCAAAAAAAAAAAAAGGGGGGGGGGGTCTTTAACCAATCAAAAACAAAAAAATCGTTTTTACACCCCCAAAATTGGCCGGTGTGTGACTATAATTGGATTGACTGGACCATAAAGTGACCATAGGTATTATATTTTCATTTAAAGAATGATATCCCATTGAATGTACGAATGTAAATATTACGAGAATTTTATCAACTTTCCTCTAATTACTCTTATTTTTGTTGTGTATGGATACTGTGTTTACAATTTTCACCAACCATTTTAGTGACTGCCACTCTTTTCTTCTTGTTGACACATTCACTTGCACAAGCATCGCCACCACAGCACAGACAGGAAGTTGTAATGGCCAAAAGATATCGAAGCAAGAATTGAGAAAAGTCCCCCCCACCCTACCCCCGCAAAAAAACATGAATCCACCCACAACAGGCACCCTGCAAATATTTCCAGAGTGGTTTCTCTATTAGCTGGCTGGTTGGTTGTGTGGGTACTAAACATGTCATGTTAAGAACAGGATGTCAAAATTCTGAAGCGTAAACGGAAATAAAAACACAAGCGTAGTTTCAGTTACGCAATCACTGGACTGAATCCCCACCGCCTATCTGCTGTTTTCAGGAGTTTTACTACACCAGTTGCGGTTAGAAGATCACAAGAAAGAATGCGCTTTGACATTTTGAGGCCTGAAGTACAAATGTGAAAGCTGCCTCTGAAAATGTACGGAAGAGGGAGTGGGGGAAGACCTGTTGTTGGCTGTGAGATCACACTGAAAACCAGACGGCTGGTGGGCAAAACGGACGAGGGGGCATCGGGCGTTCAGGATCTTCTGCACACCAACGCAGCCAGGCCCAAATTGGTCCACACATTCACCAATGACAGTCAGGATGCTCTGTGTGACACCACGCTCTGAAGTGGCCCGCTTCATCTGGTACTCCAAGGTCAAACCAGATTTTGGCTACACAATGAAAGAGATTTTGCAAAATTATTTTTAACAGATTAAAAAAAAAAAACATGAAAAACTCTTTGAATGTTCTGAACTCCTGTTTCTACTCCTGTATATTTAGATTCACCAATGACAGTCAGGATGCTCTGTGTGACACCACGCTCTGAAGTGGCCCGCTTCATCTGGTACTCCAAGGTCAAACCAGATTTTGGCTACACATTGAAAGAGATTTTGCAAAATTATTTTTAACAGATTAAAAAAAAAAAAAAACATAAAAAACTCTTTGAATGTTCTGAACTCCTGTTTCTACTCCTGTATATTTAGTAGAATAATGCTACCTGAAGGAGTTGCCATGGGTACCCTGGTCTACACGGATGCAGCTCAACTTCCCATAGCTGACATTTTTGAAACATGCTGATTCTATCAAAACCGTCTCTAATGGTTACATTGACTTATTGACAGTATTTGCATTCCATTCTTTCATAAAATATTTCAAGAACTAAATAAAAATGACACTTTTAACCGCTGATCAAGACCAACTTTATCTGCAATTATATGATATGTGATATAGAAATCATTCAACCAATAAAATTCAGGTGCTATTCATGATTATGATGAGTGCATTGTGATCATTGCCCTATTTGTCTTCACCATCTTTAAATTCCTTCCACTGATGCCGTCCAGGTCCAGAAACATGTCCAAATCACAGCCCAGCTTTCCAAAGCCATTCACTGACGATCCAAATGGTTTAATGGAGCATTCTGGAAAATAAG